ATAATATAATACTTGTAGTACTGCTACTGTTACATATTCTTTAATGCCATCCTAGATAAAAAACGATAAATCAGATTGCCACTCATGTTGTATGGTTATCATAACATGTATTATTTGTTACTGTTTTCACCCGTTTAGTTAGGTAATGTAGACTGAAATAGTGACGCTTCCTAGCCTGAGATGTTCCACATGTCCGTACTTATCTAACTGATAACACTAAAGAAGACCGATCAGCACCACCAAGAGGGAGGAGTGTGATTTTGATTCTCCTTGCCAGAGTTGTGTTTGTTTACCTTGGCCTGGAAATGGACTACCATTCCCTGGTTCCAGTGTTGTCTTGTAGTGAGCACTTCATGATTCATTCCCCTTAGAGAACAGGGCGACATTCTTCCTCAGTGTGGTCTTGCATGACATAATAGCTGAGCCCTTTGTGACTAATGTTAGGTGTGGAAGGGGAGATAACTTGCCTGCTGTGACACCATGAATCTGTTTGAAGCCCATGCAGATTTTAAGTTTTAGAAAGTGACCTGTAAGTATGCAAAGCAAAAAAAGACTTATAGCAATGGTACCTTTGCTAGGTAGCTAATATAATTTACTGTATATGCTTCAGTAGACACTGAAATATTTTATGAATCGAAATTATTATTTTTAAAAATTGTATATTTTCTGAAGTGAAATATGTTTCCCTTTTACCATAAACTATCTGGCCAAAAGTATGTTGACCCTCACAGCCATGTGTTGGCCTTCTCCAAACTGTTGCCACAAAGCTGGAAGCACACAGTTGTATAGCATGTCTTTGTATGCTGTAGCATTAAGATTTCCTTTCAGTGGAACTAAGGTGCCAAAACCTGTTAAAGCATGACAATGCCCATGTGTATAAAGTGAGCTCCATGAAGACATGGTTTGTTAAGAACTTGAGTGGCCTTCACAGAGCCCTGACCTAAACCCCACTGAAACACCTTTGGGATGAAGGCCTTCGCCCAAGGCCTTCTTGCTGAACATCACTGCCCAACCTCTCGCACTCTTGTGGATGAATGGGCATAAATCTTCACAGCCACGTTTCATGGTTTTTAATGGGATGTTCAATACTCAAGTGTCCACATACTTCTGGCCATATAATGTTTCTCAAATCTGTTTACCCCAAAAGTGAAAAGGGAGAATATTGTATACAAATATTTCATTCCAATTCCACTGAAAGATGCCCTATCTACCTCTACATTTATAACATAATGTACACATAAAAAAACAACATTACTGGAACATTTTTAGAGAATTAATTATTTACAATGGAAAATGAGTTTGATTATCACTTTGATTATCAGCATAATCCACCTCAGTTGCCACCCTGAGGTAAAAGTCACTCATAGCATTTAGTGTCTTTTTATTAGATGGTTTAGACATTTAACCAAAAAAAAAAAAAAACGTCATCTGTACAGAGTGTATGTGCTCTTCTCTGTGCTGACTATAATGATGGTGCAGAGGCATCAATGACAATTAAATTTATTATCATTATGTCCATTTTGCTATGACCTATAGCTGACCACTAGCTTGCTAAAGCCACGACATTCATTCCATGACGAACACACACTTTAGCTAGGAAGCTTTTACACATCTTCAGACAGACTGACTGCATTTACTGCTGAGTTAATCTTTGCATGGCATGATCTTTGCAGGCAGACAGCCAAGGCAAGGTTAGACGGTAGCCTAAATAAAAACATTTCCATATTATTTTGGTAAAATATATTAATGTTCAATTCTTAAAGTAGAGATGTCCAAATATATTACTGCTATATTATTTCTATATATTATTGTTATCTTACAAGTATTCCAAATGGACTAAATATGAGGGATTTGTTTTTAGGGATGACTACCCTGGGCCATGGAGCCGTGGACATCAACATCCAGGGCCCTGGAATTGCAGCCCAGCACTGTTTCATTGAGAACAAGGCTGGAATAATCACCTTACACCCCTGTGAAAATCAGTGTACCATGGACGGACTTCCAGTCACCAAGCCTGTACGCCTGTCTCAAGGTACGTCGAATATAATGTGCAGTCAATTGGATGTCGAGCATCTCTAAATAAAAGTGATTGGATTTATATTATAACACTGAAGATGTTTCACTGCTCATCATCATCAGAATGTGAACAGATTAGCTGGACTCGCAAGAATCCGATCTCAGGCAGGTGTAAATGCAAATTGTTTGCATCAGGCTGTCATTATTAAGAATAGTTTTTATTCATATGACAAAAAAGCAGAAGATTTGCAACTACTACCAACACAGGTTCTTGTTGGTTATGTTGCCTCCAAAGGTCCAGGATTTGGATATTGAATAGCAGAAATGAGATCTGATTATAAAGGATAAAGAAAGCAGATGATGAGAAGAAAGAGCACAATAATCAAACTGTGAATTGAAACCTGATAGCTTTGTCTTCGTTTTGGGGGGGGCTCAAGCAGTAGCGCCAGGAAAATCCATTCAGGAAATGCACAGGGTTTTTTTTCTAGAATGAACTGATCTGTGGCTAACCGCAAGCTTCTAGTGAGTCTCCAGTGTTACCGAGGGATGTGATATCTAAGCCCGAAGATCATTATGATCAGGAAGGTAAGGATTGATTGTCATGCCATACGAGTGAACGGTCTGGTAGAAACATCTGAGGGCTTTAGAAATTCAAACTTTGAGGTAAAATCTGAATTCTCTCAGGCTAAAAATGCAGTTTACACTGGATGGACTTCCAGATCTCTGGAAGGTATACATGCAAACAACATTCTTCAAATCCCAAAAAAGGATTATCAGCATTTTGTGTGTGGGAATAAATTTAATTAAACAAGTCTAGTGAAACATATTGGTGCATTTGGATTAGTCCATTGTGCAGGCTCATACTGACTGCATGATTTCTCACAAGTCACAAGCAACTCTGCAAGAAGGACTAGAGAGACTCAATTATGAATTTTCCAATGCACAGTTAAGCATCTAAGCACGGCGTCCTAACAAATGAGCAATATAATTTCCATTTAATTATCCATGTCCAATCAATTCCAGTTCAAATAATAAAACCTTATTATTTAATCTATCTATTAAGTAATGTTCCCTAACACTGGTGTAGTGTGAAGTAGTATGTGCTGTGACCATTATAACAGAATTTTCTAGTGCATAATTATGGTTAATTATAATTATGTAGTCCCTGTAGTTCTGTGTTGTTCTGTGTTTGTCTTATGTAGTACCTTGGTCCTGGAGAAACGTTGTTTCGTTTCACTATGTACTTGTATATGGCTGAAATGACAATAAACTCCACTTGAATTTGAACTTGAACTTGGTGTTAATACGTGGCATCTTGTTCGATTGCCAAGAAATGTGGCTATAAAAATACACTATTTGAGATAAATTTCGTGACTTGCCAAAAAGAAAAATTACAAAACACATATTTCATTGTGGCAACATATCAGTGGTGGACAGATGCTCATCTGGTACAAGTAATGCCTATTATGTAAGTTTGTTCTGATGTTAGTCAGCAGGCTATTATTAGCTACATTAAAGGGGAAGTCAACTGCACCTTTCTAGAGAATGTTACACAAACACTGTAGAATTCTCGTCTATAAATTTCTCAGGAGCAGTCCATATTGCTTCACTTTACTCTGCATGACAGTTTATTCTCAATTAACCATGAAATTTTAGGAGATCTGTGGAATGCCCATCTATAGGCAAGTAATCACGCAACTCTTAAAATCGCAAGAGGTTTCGTAGGACTCATTTCCTTTTGAGTTTATTCTTATTAAGAAACATGTCTAGCTATGAATGCAAATTTGTTTTTTCACTTGAAAAATGACAGAAAATACCTTTAAAATGGGCCATTTCACAAAATAATAATAATAATAATAATAATAAGGAAGTACATAGACACAGAGTAAAATAATTTCAGGTAAGCCTTACAAACACCTTCATCATTATCACCAGTGAAAGCGAAAAGATTTTTCATCTCTTTGTGAAAAACTTCAAAGATGTGTCTAGAATTGTTTTAGAATTCAGCAATGAATTATTTCACGCTGTGGAAGAACTCATTCACAGCTATAGGGGTTAAATATTGTTAACTGATATTAGGATTGATGATGATTAGTTAGATATGTAGTTAATTGATATTCTGTATGTATTATTTCATATTTAGCATAATTCAGCTCATTTCCATTAATTGCTTTAAAAAATGATAAAACTGTGGATAGGTGAAACAGTTAGTAATACATCACTGATAGCATCCTTTTGCTAATGTTAGCTAGCTGTATTTCTAGTCAATTGAGACCTGAGTTAACATTCACAGTGGGAATGATGAGTGTTTTTGCTCGTTCAGTGCCAAAGTGCATCACAGCTAGATGCCACACAAGCTTGACGTTAAAGAGGCTGTCAGATTAGCTTCATTTCTAGACAGTTGTAGTTTATTTGCCCCTAATCCCTAATTGTGCTGATATTTCAGGCTGTTTCATTGATTCTGCTTCAGTTCGCAGGTCTTCTATATCATTTCTCATAAATGGTGTTTGATTCCGTTTGGCTTTCTCACACTGCATTGTTGCTGTTTAGCAGAAACAGTGTTGCCAACTTAGCAACCGTGTTGCTAGATCTGGCAATTTGTTAACCCCCTATAGTGATTCTATACAGCTGCTGGTTATACAAGTTGAGAGAGCAGGTTTGGTCAACTCACCACCAGTATGTAAAGACTGATTGGCAGTTGTGCTTCCATGAGTCCATGCTCCCAATGACCAATCACTGATCACCATTGTTTCCCAGCAACCAATCACTGATCACCATTGTTTCCCAGCAACCTATCAGCGATCACCATTGTTTCCCAGCAACCAATCACTGATCACCAATGTTAGTGCCTCCAGCATACCTCTTTGTTTTTAAACTCTCTCGTTGACTATATTTACAAGAAATAAACAAAAGTGTGTTATTCCACTCATGCCCATTCCCTTCATGTCCTAGATAATGTAAATACGTAGGCACTTGGTAAAATGGCAGTGGTAGCTCAGTGGTTAAAACGTTGGACTACTAATGGGACGGTCATGAGTTCAATTCCTGCTGCCACTGCTGGGCCCTTGGGCAAGGCCCTTTACCCTCAAATGCTCAGTTGTATAAAATGTGATAAATGTAAGTCGCTCTGGATAAGGGCGTATGCCATAAATGTAAAATCACTACTGCTAAGCTTTAGAAACACTAGCATCATTATCACATATGCTCAAAGTGGAAAGATTTTTCACCTTATCTTTGTCAACGCTGTTAAGACTAAACTTCAAAGATGTATCCAGAATTATGATTTTTTTCTGCATTCATGATAGAAATTATAGTATTTTGTAAATGCACAAATAGTTGTTTTGACTCTATTGTGTAAATACCTAAATAATTAGTTTGCGTTGCCATGACCAAAGGCTTCCAAATTTATAATCTATTTTCTATTTGCCTATTTTCTATTCTGATTAAAGAAAAAAAAACCAAACATGTTCTTTATTTAACACTTTTTGATATGCAAATCATCATGACGATTCAACAAACATGTAAATTACTCCATGACATCATCTGGTGACTTCTTTGAACTACTTTGCCCTGAAAGCACTCAGCAACCCTTGCGCCTGTGTAAAGGCTACTTTTGGCAACAAAAAACCCGGAAGTGTGAAAAAGGGTTCACACTCCGCGCATGCGTGTTGCTACAAAGGGACTCGGTCGGTCAGACAGCAGGAGTGGGCGGTGCTCAGAGTGAAATTCCGCTGCTGATAGACACTTTGACTCAGGAAGGGGGGTGTGTGGAAACACTCTCCCTCCTTCCACATCCCTCCTTCCTGTGACGAGAAAATGAGTTTGCTCCATTGACGGAGACAGCAGCTGTTCATCTCTTCCCACCTATGTCTTTCCACAATGCTGTAGACACACCAGCTTGACAGCTAAAACTGTATAGCTTTCCTCAAAGCAGCAGTAGCAGCTAGTATTATTATTAGTAGTAGCAGCAGTAGTATTATCACTGGATGATCACAGCTAAAGACTGCCATGCTGCAATCGCGAAACTCCTGAAGATTTGCCCTCGTTAGCTGAAGGAGTTGGGGAGAATGATGAACCGCTAACAAAGGATTTGCTCAGGGCAGAGAACAGCGGAATCACCGGCTTCTCTTCTCTCCTATCAGGAAAACGTGGCTTGTTTTTAAAGGGCCAGGCTGCACTGATTCCTGCACACTCCACCCTGGAGATCATGGGGCTTTAGAAGTAAGTGTGCATGAGGTGAAAACGCTTCCGTGGGAGATTTAGGCATGCATTCACATCTGGCTGGGCTTCAGAGAGCTTTCATGATCCTTTACTGCACAGCCAAGTGCTGAATTAACTACTAATGAACTGCAATTGCTTATTTTCACTGTTAATACAGCACCACCACCACATCTAGGAAGCACGTGATCAAAAGAGGATTTTTTTTTCTCTCTTTCTTTTTTTTTTTTTAAGAGAGAGAAATGGCTATAGTGACATTCGCACTACAAAAACTATTCATCTAAAAGAGAGTTTTCAAAAATCAAGTGCTTTTTAGTCAGCTTGTAGGTATGAGATTGATGAAGGTGTGTGGAAGTTCAGAGGAATGCTTTTCCTGTTATTTCCAGATGCAACCCAGTGCCATTCTTTCAACTCTGAATTAATATTTAAACAGATTTAATTAACTCTTTTTTTTAAAAAAAAAAGCTGGAGACTGCAGACATCCAGTACTGGAGCTGTGCGCTTTTGTCCTGTAACTACAACGCTGAGTTAATCACTACACTGCTGAATTAAGTGTAAGCGTAAAAAAAAGTGTAAATTCACTCTGTAAATGCGTGAATTAAGTTGTAAAGGTCTTATCGTTTAGGTTTAATGAAATCTTATGGTGTTAAACGAGCCACTGTTCAGTTTTAATTCAGCAGTATGCTCTCTAATTTTAATCGAGCTTATCTGCGGTGCATCACATCAATCCCAGAGCAACACTGACCGAGACAGCGATTATAAAGCTGGTCCCAGACTCTGTGGCATGGTGATCGGTCATTTCAGCATGCTCATGGGCGCTCGTATACTGTTACACTGCTATTCCTGGTCAGTGTGAGCCACTGCCTGCTTTTAACTCCTTGAGGTACAGATGCATACCTTTTCACACATACTATTTTTGTAATTAATGGGTCTTACTATGAGTTGGGGTCAGATTACATAGGTACAGGACTGAAGGAAGATTCAGAGGTGATTTTTTATTGTGGGCCGTTTGTAGCGTTTGTATTGTCACCTTATTATCTGCACTCTACTTATGCACTTTTCTGCCCCGTTCTGACATTCATATCTATTTAGTAGCTACAGAGATCAGCTATCTGAGTGGTAGCCAAATCCTGGGTTTAACCTCTTGTCTGTGCCCCCTATGGTCATGTCCCCATGTTCTGACCTGACCTCAGGGTTCACTGTGTGTGTGTATGTGTGTGTGTGTGGCTCTGAGACTTTGTACTGTCTGAAACGTGACAGCGTGGTGACATTGTGGTCTCGGTTAGAAAGGCTACTGCAGCGAACATAAGATTTCTAGCATAGGTCCTAGCTATTTAGAATAAGTGGTATTTAACTATATTTGAATATTAAATGTGTTAGATTAATAATAAAAATAGAACTGAACAAGCCAAATAGGATTTGTTTTAAAAGGTTGAAATACGGCTGCAGGGATCATTCATGGCTGCGATGTGCTTTTTTTTTTTTCTTCTTCAAACCTCAGTGTTTGACCAACATGCTTTAGCAATTTCTATTTTCCATGCATGGGTGTGATTTTTATTATTTTTATGATTCTGTTCACTTTTTTGCATGCTTTTTGACCCTAGAGATTGTGTGATGCTGCATGTATCATAAATATACGGCAGCTGCATTTTAAAAATAAGTAATTCATATAGGGCTGCAATACCACTCCGTCATAATAGATAATCACTGCTTTAATAATTATTTCAGAAGGAGTCTCTTTGTACCTGTTTGCCAGAGGTAAAGCTGTAACTAAGTTTTCTGACTTCGGACAGTCTTCAGGACAGAGGGCTTTGCAGTTTCTCTCTCTTTTTTTTTTTTGTCTTATTAACTTCGAGAGGAAAAAGAGGGGCTGGTGAGGGAGCGACGGTTTACAGTTGCTGTAACATAAGTGATAACAGGAACTGACTTGTTTGCTTAATGATGCTCCCCAATATTAAACATAACTGTAATTTGATAATGTCCTGTTGTTCCTCAATAAAGGAAAGACAAACTGCTGCGGTATAAGAGGAACATATCATTTCAATATGTAATGTTATTATTGGAAAATAATCAACTTTGGAGTGGCAACAGATCACACTACCTTGCCGTGGATTATTTCTCTGTAACAGCATGCCTCATTGTGTTTTATTCCTTACTAAGTTCAGCATTAACGGAATGCTTGAGTGGTGATGGAACTGCTAGTTAATAGCTTAATGTACGATTGATAACAATTGTACTTCCATATAGGTCTTAGCATACAGAAATACGCAGATATTAAAGATCCAAAGAATGTTAGTCTATTAGCACAGGCCTCCTTTACACACATTCTTATGACAAGTTAGTGTACTGTTTGCTAGCAATGTGCACTTGTGTTTTCAGATTTCATGAAATTGCCAGAATAATTATATTTCTGCATTCCTGGTTGTCCTTGGGAATGATTTGAGAACAGAAATATCGTCCTAGTTTTGTTGGCTCAGGTCCCAAATTTCTTTTTGTTTAATGAGAACAGGCATTAGCAGTAATATAAGTTATATAAATATGTTCTGTCTAAAAATGGTTTAATATATAACAAAAAGCTTTCCTTATTACTAGGGGAGTTCAGTGTGTGGTCTGACACGAAGACTTCTGAACTTCGATCTCCTTTTGAAGTATCTGCTTGGCTGGTTGGCATCCTTTCGAGTCATCCCTTCATGAAATTGAATGACAAAACGGCTCTTAGTCATAGTTTGTCGGAACGTCATCTGCCACTGAAGAATGTTGGGTTACAGTGGAATTCACTCAAGGCAGCGAACAGAGATGAGAAAACGTTATCACCAGAGGAAATGCGTCATTTTGCTTGCGCTCCATGTGCAGAAACAATGTTTTGCGAAATGCGTATTGATGAAATGAAAATGATTTACTGCCTCGTAATCCGGGAACCAGATTTCAATTTGTACTGCGAAGCGAAAAACCCTTTGTAGGTAATTATTCCTGATTTGGTATTTCGGAAGGAAATTGCATTTAGACCACCATTAAGTGCTATATGTTTGCTGTGTTTGCTGTAATTGGTGGTTTAGAGAGAGGTTGGGAGTGTTGTGAGTCCACATGTCAAATGAGCGTGACTCTGCAACAGGAAACTGACATAACACATAGCCTTCTCCTGGAGCAAAAATATCTGCTGTAAACTGATCCATAATGCCTGGCAGAAGCTTGCTATCTATAAACAAACCCCAGGAAACAGGCGGAACGGACTATTTATATCTTTGAGCTATATGAAAAAAAAATGTACTCCTAAAAGTGGCCTGATCCTAGAGAGGAAAAAATGAATAGATAAAATGATTCAATGGATTCATTAAGCAGTCTGTAGACATTTTTAACATAATTTAGATGTGCTGTGACTAAGCGTTTAAGGATTTAACGCAGCAGCAGGGGAGTGGTTTATAGCCGAGGTCTGAGTGCGTTTGACAGTAATATATGATGGCGTGGGGGCGAATCGCACTTATTGCAGCAGGTATAATTCATGACTCCATTAAATGCTCTCATCGCTCACATTGCTCACATTGCTGTCAGTGGTTTTAGATTAATGCTCCTCAATACTGTGCTGTGTAAATTCATCGGCAAAGTGCACTCCTTTTGCACTGGGGAGAATCGGTCAGGTTAAAAAAAAAAAAAAAATCAAAGGCTTTTGGACATCTTCACATCTGGCCAGCGCATACATCAGACTGCAGTCTAGCATCTTTTTTTTTTTTGCTCATGATTGCTCACTTTTCAAAAATTCAATTTCAAAACGTTTGCCACATGCTTGGAATGCTACGTCTAACAGCGTTGGTAATAGTGTGAATCATTTCCTTTACTCCAGGAA